GGAAATATATTAGTCGTACATTAAAAACATACTTCCTCTTCTAGTCATATTCTAGAATTGTTATCTTGGATCTAGCGCAAACATAAACACAAAACTTCCATTCAACTCTTTCTTTGCCTGAGCAATGAAGTACTTTAATATATTAATGAACTTGATAAACATATCACTTCTGGAAAGGCAGAAAATATGAAGTTTCCCTATCGTTGTGTAATCAGAATGCTCCTTTAAATAAGAATAAGTTCAGAGTTTTGTATTGCATGTGTAATTTTTTTTTTTTTTTTAAATCTATGCAGCTGACAACTCAAAAACCAGAGTGGTTATGGTTGGCTTGCTTCATGTAATAAATTGATGTGAACACTTACAATTTTTGGTTTGAATATTAAAACATTAAACCACATTTAGGAGAGGGAGCTATCCAGGAATTTGTATTGGCTGGGTTAAGGAGCTGGAATGAGAAAAGTTAGTGCATTGTATCTCTCTTACTGCAGAAACCAAACGAGTGGCTTTGTTTATTGGGGTTTAAATTCCCGTCATTTGCTCATGGTACAAATTTGTTGTTGTTAGTTGAATGGCATCTAACATAAATATCATAAATTATTTTTTAAGTTTTGTCATTTCAAGTGCTATTAATTAGAATGCCAGCCTTTCAGTTTGTTTTATTTTTGAGTTAGCAGTGAGCAAGCACCTTTAAAAGGGTAAAAATTCAGTTAAGTGTTAGACTTATAAATATGAATAAGTTAATGTTTAAAAAAAAATCTGTTTTGTCAAAGGTATTTTCAAACTCTTATGTGAGGTACACTGTTACATCTACAAACTCAAATAGCTGCTTATCCATCAGCTTAGGTATCCAGCTATCAGTTGCTTACCTCTTTCAAATTGTGAACAGTTTAAGTGCTTGGGACTCTTAATGGAAATTGCAAGCTCTCTAAGAAAGGAACCTCAATAAGAGAAGTTTCTTGAACAAGTGGTAATGTGATACAGTGTTATTGTAGATTGATACTGCTTTTGGTGAGAGCAGCAAGATGTGTAAACTAAACAAGCAAAGAAAAATCAGCCTAATATCAGTGTGATACTAGAAGAAAGAAGTTTCTCTGTTAAAACTTCCCGAGTTTTTTTTTTAGTTCTCAGACTTGCTTTTTTTAATATTGTAATGTACTTAATAGCAATTTCAAATCTTTTTAGTAACGAATGTTAATCTTGAACTTTGGCATTTGTGTGGTTCTTCAATGTTAATATACCCATTTAATATCCCCACTTAAAATGTATTCATTTATTTTGATATGTGAATTCTGGTATGAAGTTGTAATAGCAGTCTTTGTTTCATAAATAATGGGTATTGATCCTGTCTTAAAGTACTAATTTGTTTAGGAGTCACTACTGAAGCAGGTAAGTCTAATTTAGCTAAGGCAGTTCAGGCTGATTAAGAGGACAAGTTGTGGAGGGCTGGGAAGAAAGGCAACATTTATTTTTAAGCATTCTCTCTTCTATGTCAACAGTGAATCAGTTTTGTGTCTCATTTTTATTGTAATGTTGTTGTAATCTTATTTTAGTGAGGAGGATTTGCAGTGAAATGTTAATATCTGTTGCAATGTCTGGGTCTTTTGTAATGATGTTTTAACATACCCTATATTCAAATTTTATTGAAGCGCCTGTTCTTTTGGTTTCACCTTTACCCACCCCAACCAATTTTCTAATTCATTTCCTTTATTGAGAAGCATAGTGATACATTCTATCAGCCACATATTTACCTAAAATAATACATTTCTGAGAAAGCTTAGTATACTTTAACAGACAAACAGGAGACTAGAGATTGTGTTCTGTGGCTGGTGTTTCAGGACAGGGTTCTTCTCCTTGGAGATCAAAGGAAGAGTTAACTCTTCCTGTAATGTGTGGCTGTTCTATGGTCAGGATTGGATCAGGTGAGTTAAATGAATCCATGCTTTCCTTCTGTTCCCTTGTCTCTCAAGTGTTCTCTGCAGGTAAGAAAGTATAATTCCTTGATGCGTGTGCCTGCACAGCTGTGGATACATGGTTAGATGATTTACAGAACTGGGATAGACTTACTCTTTCCTAGTGAGTGGGAAGTTTAGAAATAACACACACCCTCAAGTATCAGGCAGATTTGTCCTACACAGTGGTACAGACCTTCTGTGCAGTATTTAGATAAGTACTGCCCCTGTAGGGAAGCCCTTTTCTTAGGCGCTTCCAACTTATCTTAAACTTTTAAGTAGGATTTAGAAATAAACATTTAAACTTGTGCCTCAACTCCTTTTAGGGTGAGTGTTCTTTGAATGCATCTTTATTATTAGCTTCAAGTCCATTTTAACTCTAGAAATGTTAGCCAGGTTTTCCCTGCCCCCTTCTTAAATACCATGCTTTTGGAGAAAAATCTTGTTCCCCCTACGTGTCAGATGTCTTTCCCTGTCCCAGTAAAGACATGCCTTGCCTATTTGTTTCCTCAAAGAGCCTTATACATAGATACCTCAAATAAAGAGAGCATACTATTAAATTGCCAACATGAAGCCATATTTGCTTTACCCAGGTGCAGTGCGACATAACCCAGAATGACATCTATGACATGTTTAGAAGTTTCTAAAGCTTTTCTGTGTGTAATGTAAAGATCCAGCTGTACCCTTCACCTACACCAAAGCATTGTCAAGCATGTGGTGGATTTTGGTAGGGCGGTCCTCCTGTCACTGTCCAAGGGTCCTAGTTCTTTCCCAGATAACCTGCTCAGGTTGGGAAAAGGTGGGAGATAGCACGAAAAATTGCCAGCATTGTCCGTGCACATGTTCAAAATCCTTCAAAAGCAAAGTTTTATTAACTGCTGTCAGAGTAACTTATGTTGTCTGGGCGCACTTTCACAAATTTGTCCGCTTCCCTTGCCAGCAATGACTTGTTGCTGTCAGTACTTTTTGTGGCAAGATAAAACTACCACTCTTAAAAAAAGGCTTCGTGTGAAAATTTCTGTATTTCTGACCTTGATGGTCTAAAAAAAAATGGTGAAAGAGTCTTTAATTTTAGGAAAGGAAACCATTTTTATTCCTTCAAGAATAAGTCACTTCTTTGTAGGCCTCATAATAAAAAGAATAGAATGGTTTTAGTTAGCAAGCCTGCTTTCAGTTTGAAAGGCATCTTTTGTTTTTGGCAAAAGTTTATTATATGTTTTTACTGTAGTTGCTATAGGTGCAAGGGAATAGAGAAGTTATGTTGAAGGCAAGGAGTATTTTGGCCTACTATATTCCTGAATTTCCGTTCTTAGTAGTCGCTGCTGATTAAAACAAACTTTGGGGAGTATGTCTGTCTGATATCCTTGCCTTCGTCTAAACTTTCAAGATACTGTATAATTTGTGCTGTCAAGACAGATGCTGCAGCTGATTAGTTGATTGTTAAACCACATTTAAAAATGGTAGTTCAGGGATTCGTTTTTAAACTGGCTTTTACATAGTTCATGGATATTGATGAATGGTAGGTACAAATCATATGCCTCATACTACATGCAAGTGCGTGTTACAGGATCAAGAATGTCTTGTTTATATAAAAGTTTGTACAGGATTTACTACTACAGATGTGTTCAGACATGCACGTTTGAGTGTATATGGTTGTCTTTGTAGTTGAATATGTGGATTTAGTCAAATTGGTCTGATTTAATCTCACTTCAGCCCAAGACTAGAAAAATCTCATATAGGTTTAAAACACTGTTTGGAAGAAGGAGCAGCCAGCTAAAGCAGAGTCCAGGAAAGAAAGTTTGTAAAAAGCAAACTCATGAAGGGCTTGTTACTTCTATGATGTTGTACTGCAAAATACCAGATGATTGTGTCCAGTGTGTTGGTTACAGAAACTGGGATGGATTTATATCATTTTTTTATGGTCATGTTTGATTACTAGAATTCATACCTAAAAGTAGGTTTAGAGGTCATGGGCACCTGCTACAAAATGTAGATTTGGTCATCTTTGGCAAAACACATCACCTCTTGTCTCATTAGAGCAGGGGCATATCTTTGCACCTGCTCTGTTTCAAACAGAGTATCCCAGTCAAAATTTTTCTGCAAGGTTGACTTTATTTGAGAAGCTATTTTCCTGTCTAACAATGGCATTCAATGGAAATTGCAATTTCTGAGCGTCACAAAGCTGTCAGTGTGTACCATAGAGTGTGTAAATGGGGGAACTGCCGTTGTCAAGGAAATGGGAATAAAGCTATGCAGCTTGCGTTCGAGGAAACCGAACAAGGTCTCTGGATTCACTGTTGAAAGGGTATTTATGATATCTAACTCAGATGGCACTGGTATTTCTGGGCTACTCTTTGAAAGAGATGATCTCTTTCTTCTGCATACATAGGCAGACAGCAATCCTAAATTGTATGCTTAAAATAAGGCTCTGTGAATATGTTTCAAAATACAAAATCTGGTCTTTGACTCTGAGTTCTCCTTTACCCTTTTCAAAGCTAAACAGACATCCCAGAATGGAAGTGTGCTTATTGATTCTGACTTGCTGGAAGTGAGATGGCTGTATTTAATTTTAACCATTGCTGTGCAACTGAACAATTACTTAATTAGTTATTCAAATATGGTTCAAGTACTGATTTGAAAAATTTTAGGGATATTTCAATAGAATTGTGTAACACCTAGACTAAGATTCAGAGTTTGAAGAGAAACTGCCCTTGAGCAACTAAAGTTAGTTCCTTGTATTCTTGTATAGCTTCTTGTACAGTGTTTGTGGGTTCAAGCTCTGACTTGCATATGTAACTGCAGGATTATGCTCCTGAGAATAATTTGTCATAATTTATTTTATTAAATGTAAAGTTTGGAGCACTTTTTTCTCTGGTTTTGCAGGACGACTCTGGTAGGGGCTGAAACCTCTGAAATTAGGTACAAAATGGAAGTGAAATAATAAAAGGAAACAGAATAAATACAGTTCTCGTGCAGCACAGCAACTCAATGGATTGCAAGGTTAATTTTGAGCTTAACTTTTTATTTTTTTTTTTTTTTTTTTAATTTCAGGGTCAGATAACGCTAATGGATGTCCCTGTATTTAAAGCAATTCAGCCAGAGGTAAGTAGTTCACTGGTTTTGTTTTGAAATTTAAATGAAAAAAAGTTATGCCAGTATAAATTCTGGAATTACAAAGTATAAGTATGTCAATAAATCTTAATTTTTGTCCCAGTTCATATAGCTCTGAAGCAGATGGTTTTATAAAACAAAAATATCTGGAACTAACTGTTTGTTTGGGGATTTAAGTATTGGTATTTAAATATGTTCAGCTAGTGCTAGAGACAAAGTATCAGGGTTTTAATGTTTCTGAATGGTAAACATCTTGATTTGACTATTCTGATCATAATATTTTAGGTTTCAGCTCCTGATACCTCATGCCATACCTCATCCTGTCCTGTGTTGCCCTAGCTGGTTTCTATCTTTTTTTGGAAAAAGAAAAGTGGCTGTAACAGCATCTTGTATTCAAGATGGGTGTGATCTGTGGAAATATTAGGATAATATATTGATGATTTGTGTTCTCTGTTTTGTTTTTATATAATGCCATATTCCTTTCTGATTGCAGCCTGACTTGAACTGATGTTTTCAAAATCTTCACAGTGACTATAATAAAGATGACTTTGTTTATCCTTATTTCTGTACGATTAGCATTTCCCTGTGGGCATTGTTCTGCACTTTTGAAGTTTTTTTTTTTTTTCAGTTTATTGTCCACTTTATCAGTAGTGTGGAAGTCTTTTTCAGCTCATGAGTCACCTTTAGACTATCATAAGTGATTTTATTGGTAGCAGGCTTTTCTCATGTCACTCTTGTGGCATGCTGAAAAATATTTTGCTTCAAGTGGAGAAACCTGTTGAATTTCTTCGTTGTGATTATTGATTTCATCACCTGTGTACCCACAAAGTTTTTGAAGGCTTCCTTTTGATCTGTACTTGAAAATGTTGTCAAGATTTAGCTTTCATGATTTCAGCAAGCTATTTCCCAACCCCTGAGGATGCGTGTGGGTTTTTTGGTTGGGTTTTTTTGTTAGTGGGTGTTTTTTGTTTTGGGTTTGGCTTTGTTTCTTTTTTTTTTTTAATTCTTCAAGGAGCCTCCCATTTGATCTCTCTGGCTTTTTTTTCTGAGCATCCTTAGAGTCTATTTGGTTGGCAGAATATGTTTATCCTGATCTTGTAATAGGATCTCTCTTTTTTTTTTAAGCTCTTTTCTAAAACTTTAAAGCATTTTACCCTTTTATCTGATTCTTTTAAATATTTTCTTCATGTATGTGTTTGTGTATTTCTTTTTCTAATGTTAAGCATTACTGCTATGTAGGGTTCCCCCACTGCCGCTGAGTGTTGAATAATCCCTGGGTGCTTTTACACAGTGCCTCATCTCTAGTTACACTGAGCTTCAAAGTACTGGATATCGAAAAATCAAAACACCAATTTAACTAGTTAGGACTTTTCCTAATGATCTGCTGATAAAGAAATTCTACTGCCTGAGCTTGAGGGTAGTTTATTGTTTGCAAGCTGCTTCCAGCACCGCACAGGATGAGCGGTCAGCTGTGTAACAACATGAGGAAGCAAGCAAGCAAGTTAGATATAGTGGCAGTACTCCATACCTCATAATTTGTTTTAATGCTTTTAACGCTACCTCTAACAAATCTCAGATTATGTTGTGTGAGCAGACCTACAGAAAATCTCAAGGGGATGACAAGAAATGTCAAGAAAGTACATTTAATTTTGTTGGCTGTTCTAACTCATTGTAAACCATAAAAGGGAGAAGCAGAATAAAAAGATGAAACTTATCTAAAAGAAAAACTGTGAGAGTGTAGGTGAATATATCTAGAAAGTAATTCCTTTTAAGAAATCTGTATGTGCTGCATAAGAAAAATTCATGTGATGCCTTGACTGGAAAATATCCATATGAGGAAGGGTAGCTATTTTGACAGTTCTCAAGCGTTTGCACAAAAGCAGTTGAAGGCACTGACAGTGTGCAAGTATTATCTGTGCATCAGTCCTCTGTCACAGGTAGACAGAGGTCTGTTGTCTTGTATCTGATGTGCCTCTAAATTGTGTTACTTCCCTATGGAAAAGGGGCACATAGATTAACTCTCAGGTCAGAAGAAGCTAGACACAATTAAAATGCTTTTCTCCTATTTTGCAGAAGGGGAAAACAGGCATGGAACACTTAGTTTGCCTAAAGGTTTCTTGACAGCAGGTTAATGAAGTGTTGTAAGTTTGAGTTTCTTTGAGGTATCTACCAGCCTGTGTGCCATATCTGTATCTTGATTCAACTTGTAAACCTTTACACATACCTTTACGTGTGCACTCAAACATTGTTGAATTTGTAATTAGGAAAAAAACCCAATGCTGAGCTGATTTCACCTGTGTAAAAGGGCTTCTAAACTGAGGCTTTAGTTAGTGACTAAAAGGCATTGACAGAATTTGTTTTTTTTAAGAGCAGTGCTAGTAGATACTCTATTTAGAACCAAATTTTACAGCTCTTGTCTGCATGCATGGTGGGAGATGATGAGCAACATCTTTCCCAGTGTGCCAAGATTTAAAAGCTGAGTATTTATTATAGATGGTTGTAATTCACCAACAAATCGTTGTTATACAGGCTGTGAATCTCCATCTGCTTCCCAAACTCTGTAGAATGGTATATGAATGAATATTTTTAGCCTTCAGTGTGTTTTCATTTGTTTTCCCAAATAAGGGTTCTGAAAGTTGTATTCCAAGGTGCTTAATTTTTAAAATAACTGGAGATTAATTTTCACTACCTTTAGGGTGTGTGAGCAGTATTCTTTAAATAGTTTTTCTTGACTATCTAAATTACTGTGTTGCATCTTCTTCATTGTGTTAAAATTTTTTCTTAAAGTATTGTAGGCTTGTTTTTTTTAAAAAGCAGTGTCAGTGTCAAAATTTCATCTTGGTTATCTTAAAAAGAGCTAAATAACACTTTTTACAGCAATCTACAGTAATTTTTCTTTTAGCATCAAAATCAATGACATACTCATAGCACACACTTACATACTTCTACAGCCTTTTGCCTCTCTCTGTAACAAACAAATATAATTCTTTCTGCCTATATTCAAATTTCCTACAGATATCATGGGTGCATGTCTGTGCTAGAGTTCCTACACATCGCCCACTACAACTTAGTGTCTCATGCTCTTAGGAAAAAACAGACAGGGAGCTTAGTGTAGCCCGCGTAACTCTGGATTAAGGTACAGTGGATCACTTTACATTTAGGGTGATCCAGAAGCATGGACTTGAACAGTTACCATGGCTTAGACAGGCAGAGGATCATGCCACTATGTACTGAGCTTTAAGCAGACTGTGTCACTGCAAGTGGTACTGGAAACCACCTTTCTTCATCATTAAAAATGCTCGCAAGTTACTTCTGAGAGAAGAAAGTAGAAGGAATTACTGTTTCTTTGTTAATAATTAGTGGGCTGCAGTATAAGAAATGAAGATGATAAAGAACACACCTCTGCTACTGTCTGTATGAAAGCAGCTGATTTGCATTTTCATTTTGGGAAACAAAAAAAGATGGAGTTCCCCAAGTCAATCATATGATTTCCATCTATTCCCCATGAATGACAAGTGGTGTGTTGTTTTCTGTTTTCTTGTAGTGGTTGTGGCTTTCTAGAGAGCAGTGACTATAAAGCAAAAAGGTAGTCATAGACTTGCTTAGTTGTGCTGCTGGTAGCTACGTTAACATTAACTAAATGCCAGATGTTCCCTTGCAGAACACATTAACTTGCTTTTGTTGGAAAATCTGATTACTTACTTTACATATTTTAATACATTCTCCAAAATTATTTACCCATATGTACTCACATTGAAAATCTTTACTGGGTTATTGTCTTTAACTTCTTTATCCCCTCTGCTTCACTAGGCTAGGCAGTGGGAAAAAAAAAAGTTTGCTTATTGAATATTCATCTCTACTTGTTCTGAAGTTGTGTAATGGTTCCACTATTAATCCTTGCTTTTTCTCTCTTCCTATTTTTGAAACTTTCACATTGACCCGTATATAAAGATTTTAATGAGAAGCACAGGCTTTCTTTCTGCCATGTAGTACAGGTTATAATTTAAGTGTTCCTGTAGTATTTTAAGGAAAATAAAATTCTGTAGATTCAAAGAGGAATGAAAAACAAAATGAGTTATGAAGAAAATTCAGCTTTTGTATTCTTGATCTGAAGTCTTTGTCTTGCACCTCATTTTAAATAAATTGCACAAAATAAGAAATTGGTAGTTGTAGTGATGTAGCTCCTGTGCTTGAGTTGACGGGCAGACTAAGGAAATAATCCTTGTGAATACGTAAGGTTTGAACTCTCAAAAGTTTGTGCCTCTCCTGTGTCTGTGCCTGAACAGCGGTGTAGATGTTGGCTTAAGCCGCTGAAGAATCTGAACTGATAGCACAGGTCCTGAGGGCCTGTGTAACTGTGCCTCGGCACCTCTGTAAAAGAATTTTGATGCGTACCTTTCTAGTCAGGAAGAGGATCTTTTGCTTTACAGTATCCAGTGCTACATGCTTTCACTCAAGAATGTGGATAGAGCCAAAGGGTTCTCAAATTCGTTGCCACTGGCAGTTACCAGGACTGCTTTGTCTGTTACTTCTGCTTCTGTGCTGAGCTTCAAGCATGTATAGGAGAGGATGTGCCTTTAGCTTTGTTGTTTTAGTTGGGACCCCATATACTCTGGAACCATTTCAATCCCATACCTATCTTCTCTCTACTGCACCCATGTATTTCAAATTATCTTAACCCTAAATCTGTTATGATGTAGTTTTTCTACTGCCTCCACTTGACAATAACTTCTGCCTTCTACCTCCTGTAGTCTGAGTTCATAATCTTTTTACCCCTCAAATCTAGGAGTCCAAATCTGCCTGTAACACTCCCGTCTCATTGTATACCTCAACCCTGTGCTTCTGTGTCCTATTGTACACTCCACAAATTACTATTTCAGCTTGTGATCTTACTACAGAGTTCAAAGGTTTTGGGGGAGGAAGAGAAAGGAGAGTTAGTAGAAGAGTGGTTGAAGCAAGTGCTCCATGCAGGTGGAGCTGGGAGCTGCTGTGCTTTTGAAGGGTTCATGTGGATCAGTAGCATGTGTAGCACTGTTTAGAAGTCACTAGGTTGGAGCAAAATGTGGTGACCTTGTAATACTCTTTCAGTGCAAGATCACAGAACATTGCCTTTATACAACATTTCATCTGTTTAGCTTTAATGGTGAGGAAGTATGCTAAAAACCTGCAGTAATGTTGAAGAATATTTTTTGTCTTTTTTTTTTTTTTTTAACTTGGAAAAATTCTAATTTCAGTAGCCTGGTGGGGTTTTCTGTATTCTTGCCTGAACTAGAATTTCAGAGTTTTAAACAGTATGTGATATGGTTAATAATGTACAATGAAGTTTTTACCTTTCTGTGAGACTGCATGAAAACACATTTTATTCCAAGGTAGGGATGATAATGGACAGCTGTATGTCCAACGGTATAGCCAGCCTCAGGCCCAGGAGTACAGAAATGGTCTTAGTCAGGAGAATCTGCTAGGAGTGTGTTCCAGGAGCTATTTCTGCTACCTCATTGTTTAGATTTCCATGTTATTTAAGAAAACACTTATTCTCTGCCGGTCACTGCTTTCTCTTTCTGGAGCAGAGGCTTCAGTTGTCTAAGTCTCCCGTCAAAACAGGGAGACTTCTTTGAAATAATGATAAATATATATACACACATATATATGGTTGACAGTCTGAGAGTCAGATCTTGCATCTGTGCCCAACTGCTATTAGACCTCTAATTTTGAGCGTATAAACTTGTCCTTAACATTAATACTGTTACTTATGTAGTGTCTAAAGATTCTTGGTGATGTTTTCTACTTAAAAATTACCATTTCTGTTGCCGATCACATCAGTGCCACGAACCTCAGTGCTAGCCAAGACAGCCAAGCCAAGACAGCTTCTGATGTCTGTACCATTGGCCGTAGATGTACAGTGCCAGGGCAATGGGTAACTTCTGCCCGGAATCATCACTGTTTTGTGTGGGTTGTTTTTTTTTGTTTGGTTTTTTTTTTTAGTGATGAGAATTGAAACAGTACAAGGACATGCCTCTGAATTACTAAGAAATGACCATGCTTTCTCTAAACTGAGATGGCAACTATTTTTTTTTTTTTTTTCCCTGCTATTAAGGAAGTGTAATCATCAGATGCCAGTAAGGATGAATCATCTTGTATTCTCCCAAGTGCAGAGCTGTGATTGTTATTCCAATGGAAACTGCAGCACTGGGAGGTGCTGAGGGATAGAGAATGTAAACAGGAGTATCTTGGATGGTTTCCTTCTCTGATAGCCTGCTCTCCTTTGCAACGGGAGCAATTCAGGGCTGCACGGTTGTCTGATGCATAGTCATCGAAGTGCAGGCATAAGGAGATGGGTGTGTGCGTTCCTACACTGAATGTGCTGGCATTTTCCAGGATGGGTTTTGGTGGCAGAACTTCCTGGTGAAATTTGAAGGAATGGCCCTAAATACAAAGCTGGAGACTCCACATTCTTCCCAGTGCCTATGGACAGGAGCGCCTCAGAGTCTTCTCTAACAAATACTAGCACACCACAAACTTCAGCAACTGGAAAGATTCGAGGTCTCTCTTAACTGGCATGAGACTCTGTTTAGTAGTTTTGGGATATTGGCTGAAAAGACGTTAACTCATTCCTGATTAAAAAAAAAAAAAAAAAAACCAAACCCAAAAAAACCCAAAACCAAACCAAAAACCAGACTTTAGAGCTTAGAATATCCAGATACCAAATTCTTTTAAAGTATGACTGTCTTAAATGGCACAGTTACTGGTTACACGTTGAGTCATCTTATGTACATTACACAGTAGCTGGATATATAGTGTGATACTGGTTTCAGTAAGTAGTTTTCAATGCAGTGATAAAACTGAGAGCACTTCAGAGTGGAAGATGTAGAAAAAAAAGCATGAATAAATAAAAATGAAAGGCTGTACTTTGCTAGTATGCCACTTTAATTATTAAGCTGTCTCTGTATTAATTATTTTTTCTTGGTAGCACTGTGGAATAGGTTATGTTCTGTATGCTGGATATATTTGCACCTATTCTGTGTGCCATTGTATACGAATAGGAGACCTCATTTTGGTGTATTTAGTTTTTTACAGTTTTAATTAAAACTGCATTATTGAAATTAAGGGGTAGTAAATAACAAGGAAGATGATGTACTTCCAGTTTTACAGACTAGTAAGAGGCATTGTAACTTTGTAGTTACAAAGTAACACTTTTTCAGGCTTTACAAGTAATTTGTCAGGTTGTTGAGGCCTACAGTTTTTAGGGTGACTTAAGTACAGAACTACATGATTTTTTTTATCTGTTAAGCCAGTCCCCTTGCTCCCTTTTACTCCCCAAAACTATTTAAGTGCTGAGTGTTGCTCAGCTTAAAACCATCTCCTTTGAAAGGGAAAACTGGAAATGATGTTTCTTTTATTGTTACTGCAAAAGATGACAATTTTGATATTTCTTTAATGCAATGTGCAAAGTTAAAATAATGGGACGTGTCTAGATTGAATTAATGAGGTGTATCTTCTCAGTAGACTTTAAGTATCTTCAGAAAGTAATTAAAAACAAAAGAACATGCTTCTCTCTCTAGCTCAGGTTCACATTTAAAGCAGGATTTTCTGTGGTAACAAAATGGATCTTGAGTTATTTCACTGATTTCTAGTAAGAGCTGAATTTAAAACAAAAGTCCCTAATTCAACGAAAGATGAGTTGTAAAAATCTAATAATTCAAAACAATTCAGAAATGACACTTGTGGAATCTCATTTTACAGAAGAAATCAGAAAAAGTGTAACTATAATTATTCAAAGTATTGTAATTGCTCTGTTAAGTTGTTCTGAAACTTTTAAGATTTGTGTCTCTATATGCTCTTGGCTCTGAACATGTTTTATGCACTAATTTAAAAAAAAATGAATTTTCATCCTTGTTCTCCCAGGAGCTGGCAAGCTGTGGCTGGAATAAAAAAGAGAAATACAGTTCTGCACCAAATGCTGTTGCTTTCACCAGAAGATTCAATCATGTGAGTTGTTTTTCTTTTTTTTTTTTTTTTTCAGTGTTATTACATGTACATGTTTAAAAAGTCTGAGGAATTAAGTGTTCTGGCACATCACTTTTAATACTGATCATAGCTGATTACTTGAAAACTTGAAGCATCTGTTATAAGGAGTTCCTTATCTTCAGGATATACAGAAAGACCATAACAGTACTGAAGAAATAGCTGTGTTTTTGTTTTAAATAGCAGTTATTGATGAAACAGGAAAATATTAAGTATTTTTTTCCCATAAATGCTGGCTGTCCTTTACATAAAGACAGAGTCATAATTACAGGTTAAAGGCTTACCATACAGGATTTCTGGAGTAGTAATTGGATGTAATTTCTTTCTGTGTTAGTTGAGTGTCTTTTGCTCCACATAGATGTTTTTGTCCCTAGAAATAGAAGCCTTTTGTCAGTATGCTTACCTTTTTAAGGTGATTCTAGACAAACTTTAAAAATTCCAAACAGTTTTACTGTACAAAACTTTATGGCTTTCTTACTTAAAAATTTCAGAATTTTAGCTTTCTCCACAATTAAAGCTGTAGGACTCCAGCTATGTAGTTAGCCAAGTCTCAAAACTGTAATGCTTTTTTTATGTAATGCTGTATTTTGTATTTCAGATGAAGTAATTCTGTTACCCTCATCTCTCTCCTCTTGTAAATGTTTAATAATGTCTCAAACTTACAAGCTGTATTCCAGACCTATCTTCTGTACCCAGTCTCAGATCTGCAGACATCTTTGTTAATCATCTAAAACCTCTAACCTTTTCAGTGTGGTGGTTGTTTTTTTTTTTTTTCCTGTCAATTGTTGTGTACTTTCTAACTTTTCATTATTGCTCACATTCAGGATATGGCCAAATCCTATTACTTCCCATCAACAATACTTACAATATTTCTTAGCCTTCTAATGACTAAAATGCTTGTCTGGGCATGGGTTTTGGACACTTGCCAGATTCTCCTCTTGTCTGGAGATGTTACATCGCAAACTTCTTGTGACCATAGCATCCACTGAAATCTGGGGGGTTTGGGTTGGGCCTTTTTTTGGTTTGAGTTTTTATTTGGTTGCATTTAGTTAAAATTTTCCTGATCTAGCTTTTGAAGTTGCTCCTTTATTGAACTATATATCCACCCTGGTGCTACTCTTACACTAATACATTTTACACTAATATCACTGATGTGCCAGTGATTCCAAATTTGCTGTCTTAGAATTATTACAACTTATTGGAATAATTATTCCAATTATTCCTTCCAGCTGTTTCAGTTGGAAGGGACCTACAGTGATCATCTAGTCCAACTGCCTGACCAATTCGGGGCTGACCAAGTGTTAAAGTATGTTGTTAAGGGCATTGTCCAAATGCCACTTAAACACTGACAGGCTTGGGGCATCTACCACCTCTCCAGGAAACCTCTTCCTGTCTTGTTTATTCATGTAAGTTATCTCTTCAAAGAAACACTTTCTTTTGCTGAATATTCTGAAATGTTTTTGTAGTAAGGGCCATGTTAGACATTGTACCTCATCAAAGACCTCACTCCTCATTTGTACATTAGATATAATGTACTAATATGTAATTACATGTTACATACTAAAGAACTGCAGGAATTGGCTAAACAGAAAGTCAACTTCAGACATATTAAAGAACTGGTAAAATATGCTTAGTAGCAAGAAGGAAGGAGGGGAAACATCATGGGAATAAGCTATCAACTGCCTGCAAACTCACCTTTTGTCATTACAGAACCACTGTTTAAAAGTATCTAACCTGCAAAATACGTTAAGGACAGAGGGAAGGAAGGTTTGCCTTGTACAGCTGGCCAGAACCAGGAGGAGATACCTGTACTTTAAAAGTAGCTGTTAAAGATCTTAAATGTTGCTAAAATGTTAACTTTATTGTTAAATAGTGTTTAGAAAACTTCTAAATACAGTATTTTTAGAGTAACATATAGGAATTTTATCATGGCAGCAAAATCTCATTAGTTTATTATTGTAATCCTATCTTAAGTCTTCCTTAGTCATTCTAGTGACTTTCTGGTCTTGTGACCATTTTAGATTTTAATTTTTTTTAAAGGATGTTTCTATATTTTACTCTGTGGAACATTTATCAAATCTGTTAGCTGGATTATTAATTGATGGGTGATATTCTTGGTTTTGTTCAGATTTAGTTTTTATAAAAATCCATACAAAACTGGCTATATGCATACAACAAGGGCAAAGGAGAATAAGATGCTAGAAATACCTGCCTTTTAGTAATAAACTTCATAATAATTGGCAGTCCTGTTTCCCTGAAAAGTATTGCTAGCTGCTACAAGGGAGCCTTATGTATTTTCATTACCCCAGAGTGCGTGCTAGGGTTGTTGATAGTCACTGGCTATTTCATCTGTCTTAATTTCCTTTTTCTACTATGCTTTGTTTGTTTCAAGGACTGTTACTTTTGATTGAAAGACAGGTCAATCTGAAAGAAATTATAAAACTAGGTGATTCTCAAAGGTCTGTAGCAGAGTTTGAGTTTATTCAGTGTGTTTGAACGGACTAAAAGAACTATGTCACTGTTTAAAATTTTTTCAGTATGTTAAAGGAGAACCTTGAATAAAATGCAACACTCTGACTGGCTTCCAGCAGTTGTGTATAGAATTTCTTGTACTGTTTCTCTCCCTCCTCTCTTCCCTTTGGCTTTGCATCTGAAGGCCTCACTAGAAAGTCAGAAAGAGACTAAGACTTATGAACTCTCCCTTTCTGTAGCTTATTTTTGGAGAACACCAGAAGAGCAGTAAACATACAAACAGAATATATTAGCTTTAAGTTTGATGCCATGACAGGTGGTCTGTCATTCTCATTGGATGTCATTGTATAGACATTCCATATAGTGGTATATACACAAATACAGCTGCAAATTTTCTTGTCATAAGGTTTAAGTTTGTAATTAAGCCTCACTCCATTTGTGTCCTTTCTCTACAGCCACAAAAGTTGGATGTGTCCCTCCGTCAGCTGACAGGTTCCTTCACTGAGAATATCTTTGCTAATGATTTCTTAAGAGCCTTTCTAATATCTTGAAAGTTTTGTTTTATGTTATCTTCAAGCTCCAGCAAAGACCTGTCCATCTGAGAAGATCTGTCCCTGACTTTCATTTCTCTGCTGAGTTTCAGACATTGCGTTGGCTGCTACAGAAGATTCCCTTTCTTACATGACTGTTATTGCTGGTTTTAATGTCTAAAAGAAATACATTGCCAGTAATCTGAATTGTTCTTGGGACACCCCTGAAACAAGAACAGTGGCAAAATCTAGAGTGTGTCTTTGCTGTATCAGTGAGTTTTGTGGAGTCACCAGTGTAATTAAGACAGGCCAGTTTGAGGCTCTGTTCCATTGATTATCTCGGAAGAAATGAACAAAGGTCTTTTTAAAACAGGCAGCCAGTAAGTACTTGAAGCTATTGCAATTCACCATTAAATCACCTGGAATAGGACAAGTAGCTTCTCTTTCTGTTTTTCACTTTGTCAGCACAATCACTTTTGGATGTTGCAGTGTTTAGGCTGTCTCTTGGACTGTATCTAAAGCCAAAAGATTTGAAGGCATTTCCAGGTCTTCTTTCCTATTTCTTTTTTCTTGCTTGTTTCTGTTCTCTTTAAGGTGTCATTTGCAAAACATTGATATAGCAATCCTAATAGCTTGTAGGAGAAACTCTGCCTTGAAGAGTCAAAGGAAACAAGTCTAGCTATTTAACATCTGCTCAGATGCTGTGTTAGTTTGCCTCTAAACAATTTTTTGGGGAAACTGCTGCATACAGCTTTGGTGGCTGAGGAACATACCATTTGCAAGAAGCCCGTCCAAGAAGTTTGCATCAGCCTTTATTCTGGCACCAAGGAAAGTCATCAGTCTTACCTTCAAAGTGTGGTGGGACTGGAGAGGGGAGGGAAAAGGGGGAGGTATCATTTCAGTCGCAGGTTCCTGTTATTCATGTTAGTGCCTCAACTTTTGACTTACTGAGACAGTACTTTTGATAACTTTTCATGTGGTGTGGGCCTATGGTTCCAAATGTGTCATTGTGGAGGACTCATTCATTCCAATAGTAATGTTGTGTTTAGATCCACTATCCTTTCGGGAGCAGTGAAACGCAAGAATTCCAAGGGGACAGGCAGTGGCAGCTGGGAATAAGAAGGCATGGCGGAGTAAGCAATTTTCATCTCCCTTGCCTGGTTTGCCTTCTTGGTGTTCTGTTCTCCAGGTGTTTGCTCAGCAGAGTGTAGTTCCTGTTGGGCACCTACCCCACGTACCTGGGGGTTTCTAATGCTTAGACCTAAAGTAAGTAGTCAGGAAAATCATTGCGACTCTTGGCTTTATCAAGCATGAACACATTTCATCAAACTTTTGTTAACCTTTGAAATTTCACTGGGTTTAAATTATGCATTATGCATCTGTCTCTTTCCTTTTTCCCCCAACTTGCCAAAAGAAAACCATGAACAGCTCTCACTTTGTAAGTAAAGAGAATATTAAATCACTAACAGCTGCTTCACAGCAAATTGATCTGCTGATAGCATTTTGGAAACAGTAAAGATTATGTGCAGTTGATTGCAGTCCACTGAGAATGAAGTAGTGTATTTCCAGCATTAGTTATGTGATAATTATATGTGGTGCCTGTAAAAACAGATTGAGTTCAGGGAAGAGAAATCAATTGAATGATTTCATGCCAGGTTTCTTTTATTCTTGAAGAACACGTTGCTACGTGGTACTCCATAGATCTAAACATCTACTATTAAGTATTGTTTTTAAATATGTAATTTCTTTACATATTTTTTTTAAAACTCTGATCTCTGCCTTTTTCAGTTTTCTTCTGAAAGTTAGTTGTATACTTGTATACTGTTGTAACTGGTAAATCTGTCAGTGCAAAATTGTCATTTGCCTACTTAATAAATCATTGCTCTCTACTTTTTGAAAATAAGGGTTTTTTTTTATATGAATTTCAAACAAACAAGAGGTGTGTGTTTTTTGAAGATTGCTGTTAGGCATTGATATGAAAACATTTTATAAATTATGCAAAGGTAACAGTTGCTCTCCTGATTATAAGGTTATCGGTATTAAAAACCTCTTTCTTGAGGTTTTTATTTAAATGGGAATGGGATTGTGCTGCCACAGAGCATAAAATATTAGAGAAACTTGTCCACTAGATTCAATACATTGGGAAAATTTTAAAGCAAAAGATTGCACTTGAAAAGCAAATTTTGTTTTACTAACTCCGTGAAACCGTTTGGTTTTGTTGGTTTTGTTTTGTGGTTTTCTTTTTCTTTTCACCAAATGCAAACATTATGTAGGAGAGGAGTTTTGTCTTGAATATTGTAGTGTTGCTCAGTTGCAGTAAAGTGAAATTTTAGAAGGGTTGTCAGAAATGAAAAAAATGGGGTGGAGAGGAGGTTAGTGTACTTCCTTTGGAAACAAAAGAAAAAGACAGGGATGCTACCTTAGCTGTAATGATGCAAGGTCAGTACTGTCCGGTTTATATCACATGCTTTTTGTGTAGCATATCAGAATGTTTTTAACAGATATTCGGAAAAATGCTCTAGAAACTCCACTAAAGAGAGAGTCTTGAATTCGCCTATCTACTAATTAGCACAGAAAATACAATTAGTTTTGGAACCAATGACTATGAACTTAAAAGCATCAGTATAACAAAATTAGTATTTCAGATAAGGCAAACATGGGATAATTTAAAAAGCTTAAGCTGTGATTCTAGAAAAGATATGTCCAAAAGTTAAGCATATTTTTCTAGGTTGACCTTAATAGGGAAGAATATAAATACACAAATATATGTCAAGGGGTAAATGCTGTCTTGAACTGGTATCAAAGGCATTGATGCCCAAAGGCTGTGGGTCATCTAACTGATATTGGTGGGACAGTGTGAGAAATAATAACATTTAACTGCAGTGAGGGAGGACTTGAAGCAAAATAACCACAAAATATGTATGGAACAAATATGTATGATTTATGTGAAGAACGAACCTGGATAAAATAAGAACAAGTGGCCTATTGAAACAAAAGGGTTTATTTAAATATTTATTTTTCAATATTTGGAATACATTAGATTATGGTGCTGTCTAAAGATACCAGTGAATAGACTAGACCAGCCCAGTGAAAAATGAATGTTTTGCCAGTAAAAACACATCAAAGAGGAGTGGAGGTGGTTGGAGTGGAAATGGTTAATGGTTAATTCTTAATCTCCTGCTTACCCTGTCACTGAAGGGACTGGATGGCTCTAAGCTTAGTAAACAGTTTTCTGTTTTGTTTTGGTTTGTTTTTGCTGTAAGATCTTGGAGGCGTTGAGACACAGTCTGGCTGGGACTGGGATGGAAACCAGGCTTCCATGAGAAAACAAGAGTACTTTTATGACACAGTGCTTATGTCACTGTGAATACTCATGAACTTTCATAGAAGTCAGGGCTAACATAGTAAATTGTTTGGTGTTTTCATCTTTATGGAAATGACTGAGCATTGGTCTGCGTTTTGAGCAAGTATTTCATAGTCTGGCCTACTGCAAGCGGTCTCCTATTTCATCAATGCACAGTTAACTTGAGACGAAAGAGCTTTGGTGTTTTAAGACACAGCAATACATGTGTTGTCCCTACCTGATTCTTCATGATACAAAAATCTGTGTTAAAATTTAAAATATCCTTGATCTTCAAAGGGAAGGCATCTCCCTAAACTTGTTCCTCAGTTGAGGGAAAAGTTGGTTTTCTCGAGCTGTGTAACTACAATAGAACATCAAACTGAGGTTCAACTTTTTTTGACTGTATTTTGAAGTGCTGTCAAATACTTTAGTATTTGTGTATTCAGTACTTACGTATTTTATAGTAATGCTGTTTACACAGAACCATTTTTTATATTTGTCAGGGCAACACAGTTTATCTGGAGATACTTTGCTTTAAAAAAAGAAAGAAAAAAAAAAAAAGGAAAGAGAAAACTGAGCTCTGTGGTTAATTCTTTCCTGGCTAATAGAACCTTAGACAAACAGACCAAAGGAAAGCAGTTGTTATGCAAGATGTTTGTGGGTTTTTTGTGGTTTTCTTGTAATTCTTCCATTTTCCGTTTCCAGAGAGCTGTTGTGTTTTGACATTCCAGTTCTCATCAGATCACTGTAACTTCACTGAAAATGTAATAATTTTGGAGGTGCACATCTTCTCGTGCTATTTTGTATGAAGAGCTGTCATACTGCACAAAGTGAAACAGGATAAACAGGATATTTCATATTTTTAATTGAAATTTTGGGCAGGAATTCGAACACATACGCAATGTTAGTTTACATGAGGTAATTTAGTGTCACTCTTAAAAATTGAAGCACCATGACAGGTTGAAAGATGTTTACGTATGAGAGCATACATTTCTTCAAACACTGTTTTCAGTAGTTTTGTAAATAGCAGTCATGCTGTATCTTGCTAATCATTCATTTTACCCTAACTTGTAGTGAATACGTGAATAAAAGCTACAGTATTTTTTACCATTTGCTAGTTCTTTGCTACTGTTTTATTAGTTATGAAGGTGTTTATTTTCTGTCACTCTTCTCTGTGCTAAAGCATATGAGGGCAGAGGGCGTGGGGGGAGCAGAGAAGAGAAAAGATTAGAATGTAGACATGTTAACAAAACATTTTCAAAGTATAGCTTTTATGAGGCATTCATGTAACTACAAAATGCAGCAACCATCCTTCATACCATACTGAATATAACAACAATTTTTATACAATAGTGAAGTTAGTGCTGTAAAACTTAACAAATTAATATGGTAGTGTGCTGTGTATTAGCAGGTAGTTGGCATAGTCAGCAATGAGAGTACAAAGTATAAACTCTAGGTTATAGCAGAGGCTTCCCACCTTATGTTCCAATTTTGTTCAGGTGATATCATTCTGATTATTATTTTTACTCTGAGGTGTTGAGAATTTGGAAACGTCAGTTTTTATATTCCTTCATTTTGCAGAATCTCTTGATAAAATTTCATCATGATTTTATTTTCTTGGGAGAACTTTGTTTGAAGTTTGAGAGTTTTGCCATTTGCGTTGTGTCTGTGAGATCTCATCCTCAAACTTAGCCTGAAAATGAGTCCTGTTTGCATAGATTATACATAACTGATTCTGCTGGGGTTTTTTGAGATGTGCTGGCAGCAGAAGGGTTTTCCTCATTAGAAAAACAGATCTTTGTATGCAACTAACTCATGTGACAGATTTTACAAAGACAAGTTCTAGCCACCCACACACTTACTGAGGAAAAGCAGGCACCAGAACACACGCTCTCCAACAAAATACTGGAGTGTATGGCTACCAGTTCTGAAATGGGGAAGGTGAAGAGAGTAACAAAACAAAAGATTCAATTCTAAATATAAGTTGGGTTTATTAATTTGATTTAAGCAACTGCTTCACCATGTAATGGTAGAAGGTATCTTGGGTAAGAATGAGCAGCATAACAGAGCAAAACACTTTGAAGAAAGTTTTTTATTAGTATCTGGGTTATATTGGTTGGGATTTAATAGTATAAGCATTTGCATCTTCTAGTATGTATTCAACTTTATAGATGGAAGTTGAATGCTGTGAGACTTTTAATATATTACTCATTAAATAAAAATATTAATAGTGTAATGTTGAAGCTCTGTATTTTAAAAAGGCAAATTTTCTTCTTTTTAGGTAAGCTTCTGGGTTGTTAGAGAGATTCTACATGCACAAACTTTAAAAATAAGAGCTGAGGTTTTGAGCCACTATATTAAAACGGCGAAGGTAAGAATTTGGATTGGGGGGTGGAGTGGGATTCACCATGATGAAAGTTCTTATACTTAAGTTGGTCAGCTCAAAAATACACATGGGTAAATATTTATGTGATACCCGATTTAGCTGTGGTTGTATCTGTTGACATGAATACCTGTTTGGCTTCTGCATGTAACAAAGTTGTCAGAAATAGTGACAGACCAAAATCCTGAAATGGAAGCCTTTGTTAACCAAAAAAATAGCTTAACTAAGGAAATGCAAAGATGCCTTATTTCAAATGTTGTTTATTAGATAATATGATTTACTGGATGTGTTTTCTAATGTTGGTTAAACCAAAGCGCTGTGTATAGAATCAGTTCAAACGGCATCAGTCAGAACAGAATAGTTTGTTTGCTTTTACTGTTGGAAGGAAAGGATCTGTTATCTCTTATTCCAATTGTGGCATGAATAGTATCGACTTAATAAATATTGTTTGAAAATATACCTGACATCAGAAAACATTTTGGAGCTCTCATCCTGCGATATCTTCCTGAAAGCCTTTCAGACTGACATTCATTATGAAAAGGGTTAGCAAATACTGACTTATGTGTAGAAGAACCAGAGTTCTGGCCCTTCAAACAGAATTAAACTTCTTCATTGTAGTGTGAAGAGAGGGATGTTTTTCAAGTTTTTGTTGTCGGGCGGTGGCTGACTGTTACTACAGCTAACTTCTGTGATCACCTCAGGTTATCTGCAAAAAAAGATGTAAAATTTTTGTGAATTACCTTGGTATTCATTTTGCAGATACGTTCTTTGTCTTGATATGCACATGATTAATGAAGCAATATTTTACTTCTATGGGATTTGACTCTAAATTTAGATAGATGATGGAAAGTGGCTTGGCAAGCTCCTCTGCCAGCTCCCTCCGTACTCTTGGGTGGATCCCATCTGGCCCCATAGCCTTGTGAGCATCCATGTGGTGTAGCAGGTCATTAACTGCTTCCTCCTGGACTATGAGGACTCCATTCTGGTCCCTGTTCCTGTCTTCCAGCTCAGGTGGCTGAAAAGCCTAGGGATAACTGGTCTGGCTATTAAAGACAGAGGCAAACAAGGCATTAAGTACCTCAGCCTTTTCCTCATCCTTGGTGACAATGTTCCCCCCCATATCCAGCAAAGGATGGAGATTCTCCTCGGCTCTCTTTTTATTGTTGATGTACTTGTAAAAACTTTTTTTATTATCTCTTACAACAGTGGCCAGATTGAGTTCTAGCTGGGCTTTTGCTTTTCTAATTTTCTCCCTGCATGACCTAACAAGATCCCTGTACTTTTCCTGAGTTGCCTGCCCCTTCTTCCAAAGGTGGTAGACTCTCCTTTTTTCCCCTGAGTCCCAGCAAAAGCTCCCTGTTGAGCCAGGCCAGTCGTCTTCCCCACCAGTTGGTCTTACAGTACATGGGGACAGCCCACTCCTGCGCCCTTAAGACTTCCTTCTTGAAGAAGGCGCAGCCTTCCTGGACCCCTTTGCCCTTCAGGACTGCCCCCCAAGGGACTTTCAGAACCAGCGTCCTGAACAGGCCAAAGTCTGCCCTCTGACCACAACATCTCCCACGAGTCCTTCTCTGTTTGTAAACAGCAGGTCAAGTGAGGCACCTCCCCTGGTAGGCTCACTTACCAGCTGCATCGGGAAGTTATCCTCCACACAACTCTAGGAACTTCCTAGACTGTTTCCTCTCTGCTGGGTTGTATTTCCAGCAGATATCCAGCAAGTTGAAAGTCCCCCATGAGAACAAGGGCTAGCGATTGCAAGACTTCTGCCAGCCGCTTGTAGAACGATTCATCTATCTCTACATCCTGGTTGGGTGGTCTATAGCAGACTCCCAACAGGACATCTGCCTTGTTGGCTTTCCCCCTCATCCTTACCCATAAGCGCTTGACCTTATCACCACCACTGTCAAGCTCTATACAGTCAAAACACTCCCCAACATATAGAGCCACCCCACCGCCTCTCCTTCCATGCCTATCCCTTCTGAAGAGCTTATAGCCATCCAGTGCAGCACGCCAGTCACGAGTCGTCCCACCATGTTTCTGTGATGGCGGCTATGTCATAGCTATCCTGCTGCACAAGGGCTTCCAGCTCCTCCTGTTGGTTGCCCATGCTATGTGCATTGGTGTAGATGCACTTGAGCCGGGCTATCGATTTCGCCCCCAACGTTGCCATGCTGCCCCTGGGCTCCTCTCTAGCAAGCCTGGTTATGTCACCTTCCCGCTTTGAACCTAGTTTAAAGCCCTCTCAATGAGTCCTGCCAACTCATGGGCGAGGATCCTTTTCTCCTTTGGAGACAGCTGATCTCCATCAGCTGCCAGCAGGCCTGGTGCCATGTAAACCTCCCCATGATTGAAAAAAGCCAAAATTCCACTGATGGCACCAGCCTCTGAGCCACTTGTTCATCAGGTGAGTTTTCCTGTTCCTTTCAGCGTTCTTCCCTGCCATTGACAGGATAGAGGAAAACACTACCTGTGCTCCTGATCCTGCAACCAATCACCCCAGTGCACTGAGGTGAAGCAAGCTAATTTTGTAAGATTCCAAAGCCTTTGCTCAATAATCATGCTGTGGTCATAAACTGTGAAGGATATCTCTTAAATATCCTTTGAAATCTGGTGAGTTAATCTATCTTCATCTCATGTATTTCTAAAAATCAGTTCTCGTGGTTTTTTGTTTGAAATACAAACATACAAAAATTTGCCTCATGATCCATGTCACTCCATAGAAGGAGGGAGGTTCACCTGTGTGGTCACAGTGCAGAACCGATCTTGGAAGTCAAGCGGGGTCAGGTTTGGTTAGTACTTGGATGGAACTTGCCAGTACTGGGTGTTGTAGGCTCTGCTTTAGGCACAGTGCCCTGAACATTCCTGATCTCACCAGTGGACTGCAGACAACAGTGTCTGCTGAAATGCTGCTGGTTTTGAGACAGTTATGTGCTCCAACAATGCGTTGAGCTTTGCTTACCTATGAGTGGTAAAAATGACAATTACAAAAAGCAAGAAACTATATATAGGGCAGTTTATATATCTTTTAATTTACTTACTATATCTATTATCTTGGCTTTGCTTACTGTCATGGCTTAGCCCCAGCCAGCAACTAAGCACCACGCATCTGCTCACTCACTCCCCCTGCCCCGGTGGGATGGGGGAGAGAATCAGAGGAGTAAGAGTGAGAAACACTCCTGGGTTGAGATAAGAACAGTTTAATAAATGAAATAAAGTAAAATAGTAATGATGATAATAATATAATATACAAAGCAAGTGATGCACAATGCAATTACTCACCACCCACCGACCGATACCCAGACAGTCCCCAAGCAGCGATCGCTGCTCCCTGGCCAACCCCCCCCAGTTTATATACTGAGCGTGATGTCATATGGTATGGAATAGCCCTTTGGTCACTTTGGATCAACTATTCTGGCTGTGTCCCCTCCCAGTTTCTTGTGTACCTGGCAGAGCATGGGAAGCTGAAAAGTCCTTGACTAGCATAAGCAGTACTTAGCAACAACTAAAACATCAGTGTGTTATCAACATTCTTCTCCTACTAAATCCAAAACAGCACTATGCCTGCTACTAGGAAGAAAACTCTACTCTATTCCAGCCGAAACCAGGACGCTTACATATGGCTGCTAACATGAAGTTACTGCAGTCAATGCCATTTGAAGGATTTTCAGTTTACACCAAAGCTATTATCAAAGCAGCTTGGTGCCAGAGGTCACACTAATTAACTTTTCTTCAGATAAGCTGTAAATCCACTCTACAATGAATTCTTTGTGCTGACAATTACCTAGCTATTGTATAGTTAGCAGTCCTTTAATGGTATCTCATGCTATATTGCTTTATGCATGAACTAATAGAACTTAATAGTTGCATTCCCCTGAAGTTCCCAGACTATCCTGATTAGTTATAACTTCTGTTTGGTAATGTTAGGTTAATGGTTGGACTGGATGATCTTAAAGGTCTTTTCCAACCTAAACGATTCTATGATTCTGTTGGCAGCAGCTAGGAAAGCCCTTTTTTCATTTTTAATTGGCTACCCTGTCCTTTGGGACAGTGAACTTTGTTACCTTGTTTGAGGACATGGGGCCAGGACGGAGTTATTGTGTAAGTGCAGAGACAAACGCCAGCAGTACTACTTGGAAGAATAGTAGGAATATGGTATATGACGAATATCCACCGCCTCCCAACTCACCCCACAAAATATTGATTGCCCTTTACATACAGTTACTAAAGAATCCTCCCAAAAGAGGACTAGGAGAGGGAAATGCTTTTTCATTACGTGTGGAAAGACTTTTGTTTGTCAGTAGACATGCTGGAACTCTGGGGTTCTGGGCACCCTCACTGAAATTGCTACTAGAGTGACCTGACAGTAAGCATTAAATGTGGCGTTTCTGAGTAATACCTATGAGGACTCTGTTCTATAAAAGGCTGTTAGTTTTCTGGCAGTGTGTTAAGTGGAGAGAGAATCATTTGCCCTGCTCCAAAACTATTAGCTGGAAAACTATCCTTGCAGTATCGCTTTTGGCCTTCCAAATATAAGATCTCCTTTGATATTCAGCATTTATTCAGAATCAAGTTAGTCTTAACTTTTTTTGTCCTGTTATCTCATGAAAGGCCTCCTAATCAAGAAAACTTGGGTAAGCTGAGTTTCAAGGAGGAAGAAAGACTTCTACCATTTCTTGAATAGCAAGGGTTCCTTATATTAATTTATCATGTTTCTGGCTGGAATCCTAACCTGCCTTGGTGAATTTTACAAATGGGTTAAACAGGATTTGCAGTACTGTGATTGAGTATCCATTTCTTTTTATCAAAGTCTTTTTGTTAAGGGTAAAACCTGAGTTTTTGTGCCCTCCACCAAAAATCCCTGAATGTAGTTCAGATCTCTGGGTGCTCATAGCTATTGGAATAATTGATATTGCAGAAGAGCTTAAGGAACAGCATTTTCTTATAGAACATTTTTAAGCTTTTGTGACAGTAGTACCAGTAGCTAGTTAGCCAAGGCAGATTGATGGTTTTGGAGACAGAGGGAAAGATAAAAGAGAGGGGAAGGAAATTCCAAGTATGTAAGAAAATGCACCTATGCGCAGTGTTTTGTAGAGAGTTTTAAAGAAAATTCTTTTACTCTGATGTTTTCTGTGTTCAATTTTTATTTCATTGTTCCTGTCCACTAGTTAGTTTTAGTTGTCATACCCCAAAAATTGTCTTTCAGTGAGAGAAGTACTCCAGGTATGGGGCTTTTGAAATTTACCTGCTTGATTTAATCCTGCAATAATATTTTTGGGCTGCTTTGATGTAGCCTTGGTAGCTACATAAACATGTGGTGTCAAATGCATTTATAATATTAAATACTGCCATGATTACATTATTCACAACTGGGTTATCCTTTTTGGCATGTAAAATTTGAAAATTCTGTTGAATGCTCTGAAAGGAATTTGTTGGGTTTGAATGTCAGAAAATTTCTGTCACTTCTGTTACATGTCCCAAGATGTATGCATATATAGTTTGTTTTGTTTTTTTTTTTTAAGGGCTCTCTCTGGACTATGAAACAACTAGTATAGTCTAATCCAAAACTGTATAGATGCAGTAATAAAAAATTAGGAGGTGCCATAAAAGTGGTACAGGTGCACAGCAGTTCACTGCAATTAAGTGATTTAATTAAGTTCACTGCAATTAATTAATTTAGTTCACTCTTCATTTTAGAGCATGCACGACTTCTTCATCTTAGATTGTTATTTATTCTGAATTCATTATTGATAGCACTTGGAATGTTGTTTATTGTTATTGTATATATTTTTGTCCTCAGAAACTGTATGAGCTGAATAATCTGCATGCTCTTATGGCAGTTGTGTCAGGCCTACAGAGTGCTCCAATCTTCAGGCTGACTAAAACATGGGCGGTAAGTGAGCAGCAGGGCAATGAAAGGGTTTTAATTTATTCTTAATTATTACAGATACTTTTAATCTTCTTGTGCTGTGTACATAACGTTTCTAGTGCCTCTTAAGTCTATGGTTTCCTGTTGAGTTTTTTTTCCATTCTGGCATAGAAATATTTTCATTTGAAAAACAGTTCCCTGCAGATTCTGCTAAATGCAGAGGCTTCTAATTTGGCCAGAAGCTATTTTGTATTTAGTTGCTGGAAAATTATGAATGCCAAAGTGGGTCATACTTTAATCGTTTAGGGGTTTATACTGTTGGAATTTTTTTTGCTATGGAGAGCAGATGTCCAGAAACTCTTGATTTAGTTTCCATAAAGAGATTTGTAGTTTTTCTGATAACTAAATCTAGCAGCTTTTCTCAGGGTTTTGAGAATTATTTTCATAGTTATAACAACTGCTTTACACAGTATACTTGTAGGTCTGCTTTTGTATGGTTATGAAAGAATGGTGTTCTTTGGGAACATTTTTTTGACACCTGTTTTTTAACTGGAATTAATATCATTTTTGTGTAGATGTATCCTTGATAAGAAGAACAATAGGCATGACTTTTCCTCATTGATACCTCAGAGCTGAGAAAATAGTGTGCTTGATTTGGCCATACATTGTGTCGTTATCCAGCTGTATAAACAGATGAACTGTGACATTTTCAAGTGTGATAGAAATAATCAGGTGACTGAAATATTCCTGGGCAGGGGATCCACATAAATAGATCATTAAAAAGAGCTGAAAACTTTCACTGAAGACATGTCAACGCATCCTCGCATGTTACAAAAAGTGTTTCTTTGATAACTGAATGATGATAGTGTTGCTCAGTTGATAAATGTTACCAAAATTGCATATAATTCACTCCTGCTGAGACACTAATCTAGAATTCTGTGCACAATTTGCAAATGCACAATTAAGTAAGACATTGTTTCAAAATACCAAAAATCTCTCTAAGGAAATCTTGAAGATCATCAAAATGATCTTGAGGAGAACTGTTGTTTTTCTGGTTTTGTCAATGAATTGATGCCTTAACAGTTTTTATAACTGTGATGCCAAATTGATTTTTTTTAGTGTGTGCATGACTTGAAACAAATGTCAACTATAACCATATTCATTACAACCATAATTATGCCATTCAGAACTGGGAATCCCCAGTTTCTTTTCCTACTTGGTCAACCAGAAGTCCTGTTTTGCACTTACGACGATTATTTGTGTGCTGTTGGCCTATGTATCAGTTTTTTGCCCCCCTTCCAACCTCTGGAATGCCAGGTGACTTCTCCCACATTTCTGCAGGTGTTTCATCTCTCATACTCAAGCAAGTCTATGCTTTTCGTCATCTTATATAAGCATTTGCAAATTCAAGTTGCAGGATAGCTCCTAGCAATGTGCACTGCAAGCTGATTTAGATGTCTTTCTCTTGGAAGTTCAGTTTATAAATTCTTGAAGTAATCCTAAGCCTTTGGCTTTCTGTGTCTTAAAAGCAAGAAAAGACATGTGAAAAGGCACAGCAAGCCATGATTTGAGTCACCAAGTCTTTTGAGTAAGTTATACAGTAACCTTCCAAAACCTTCAGTAAGGAAGGATTTCTTCTCCATTTCTGAGAGTTTGTAGCAACCCGCAATGAACCTGACTTACAACATCAGGAAAATAACTGCAAGTATATTCACTCCCTTAAAAAAAAAAAAAAAAAGCCACCTTATATGGTTGGAATCGAGAGTTGAAAGGAGCCAGTAAATATTTGCTTGGTAATCTAATGTTCCTAAAAAAGACGAAATTCATGTCTTCTGACAGTATGTCTGAATATGTCTGAAATTTGTCTCAGTCATTGCCTGCACACCCTCTGAACTCTGGAGAATAATAAATGCTTCAATATATGTGATATGCCCTGTTCAAAACTTGAAAAGAATTGTGAACCTTTCCAAGAAAGTACATAGAGTAGAATATTCTACTTCTCTCCATTTAATGTAAAGAGAGTCTTTAGTCCAGCTTAGGATTTGGGCAATGTAGGCAAATAATGAACAGACATCTGGAGTTAGGTGAGTGAATCCACCCCACTCTGCCAGCACCCTGAAAGCTCATCACTCCTTTCTTGCATTTCAAAAAAGTTGTCTTCAGTGCTGGCACACTATAATTAGAAAGCAAAGAGCAGTCTGGAAGGCTCTGAATCCTTCCCTGCTACTGTAAACTATCCGCCTTAGCTTTTGTTGTCTGTGTATGTACATCTCTTTACTGTTCTTTGCATCATTTGAGCCTAAGAGACAGAGGAATAAACATTATTTAGAAAAAGAAGCAGCTCTAAAACTGAAGAAATAACAGCTGGGTCCTTACTTGCCCTCACAGAAACACTTTCAATATTGTTGGGTTCTCTGTTTTTCTACATGAATGCAGGAAGTGGAGACATGATGTGAATTACACCATGAGCACAAGGGCAAGTCATACAGGATCACCTTGTTGAGAGATTATTCAAAGAGCCTGAAATGATACATCAGACTTGAACAAGATTGTGCAAACCAGCATGTTTTGAGGAAAATACAATTAATTTCATTCAAGTCTGAATTTAGGTGATTACTATATCTGTTAAGTCTTGTCTTACCTTCCAGTCTGCGAAACTACAAAAGCCTTCCAGACACCAAATAGCAGCAGAATATTTTAGAATATTATTAAAGGCAAGCTAGTCTAGGCTGATTAAACTGGAACTATCTTTGAGGAGGTAAACTTCAAAAGATAAATGTCATGTTCTGGTGGCTGGAAAGAAGTCATGCCTGTCCTTGTCCTGGAGTTGGCAGATGTCTGCAGTTAATGAACATGAGATGCTGTTCATCCGAATATTGGAACCAAAGCTAAAGACATAAATTAATTGCTGGATTGTCAGAGGACATTATGTCTTGGGAAACAATTCACTTATGAAAAGTGACTTTCTTCTGAAAGCCAGTGTTCAGTTTGGTGTTAGCTGTCCTAATGAAGACTACGATACAGGTAATGTAGGTAAAAAGAGCAGTTATTTCAATAGTGAATTTACAGCTTTACAGAAGGGATATTTCACTTCTATCATGTTCACAAAGATTGATCTTTAACTGAAAGAGAAAAGGGAACATGCATAAAAATTTAGCAATCTGGCCCTTGTAATTTTTGCACTGTTGGGTATCTTATAGGGGAAAAATTGTGACTGGAACTAGAACACAGAGTCTTCTGCCAAGATGTTGAGTGGGAACACGCTTATACCCTTCTTTAAATTCTGGCTCTGAATTGAAATTAATCCTTCAATGTGGTTTTGCAGCAGTAGTTCAGCTATATGTTTTAAAAAATATCTTAATTTACTTTCCCAATCTTACAAAGAGAGCCTAGTTGCTGTTAGTTCTGTCAAAGGGGGG